CACGAACCTTGTACATTTAAAACATGAATTCCTTCTTTTTGTTTTTTTTATTTTTATTTATTTATTAATATTTCAAGCACCTGATTTGCACTGCTTACTCTGTCACAGTTCAGATTGTAGGATCAGGTTCCTAAGGTAATAAGATTTGATTCTGCAAATCCTTACAACAGCAATCCTTACAAACAGTAGCCCCATATACTCATGTAAGAAAGGACTCCCCATTTCAGTAAGGGTTTGTAGGATCAGATCCACAATTTGCCAAAACAAAAAGGATCAAATTCACCCCTGTTGTAACTCCATTTAAAGTTAAGAAAGTTACACGAGGGGTGAATCTGGTCCAGTGGATTGAAGCAGGATGCTTGCATGTATGATCCCAAGTACTTTGCCAATAATCTTTGAAGCTTAACATACCAAGGCATTCTGGATACAAATTACAGGCATTCATTTCAGCAAAATGGAAGAATAATAGCATGATTTGATGTAATCGCTGTAATATCCCTTTCAAAACTCAAATGGGATTGAGAATTGCAGAGATTGTTCTCGCTTACTTAGAAAATCAAATGACTTCTTGTTTTACTTTTGAAATATGTTATTCAAATTGTATTTTAGAACATTTCCATTTGGTATTTATTTAGTTTAGTTTGTCTCTTGTTATTTCATTGCCATCCTAAGGCCCTTGGGCCCACATGAAGCTGACTGCAGGATTGGCATCTAAATTATTAAAAGTAGAACTCTCTGGTCTCTCACATTTTCACTTTACAGAATTGTGATTGAAAGTAGTTTCAGTCCTATAGGGTTAGGATGAGCAGACAGCAAGTTTGAAAAATCGGGATGGGGGTGAGAGGTAATAGGCACCTATGTAAGACAAAGCCTCAAAAAATCGGGACTGTCCCTATAAAATCGGGACATCTGGTCACCCTGTATAGGGTTGAGGTAAAAGCATATATGTGCTTGGTTTTTAGCTTAGCCTCCAAGAAGCTTGCAGCATTCAGCCTTCTAACGTAGCTCTTTTTTCAGTGTAATCTCATTGTAATCAATAGGAATCTTGCCTGAAGAGGAGTGCAGATTGGATTATCCTTGTAGAATCTGGGGTATTGCGCTTTGCACACGGCCGGCTCTAGGCACCAGCTTAACAAGCAGGTGCTTGGGGCGGCCAAGGGAGAGGGGCGGCACCTGCGGCAATTTGGGGGTGGGAGGTCCCTCACTTCCTCTAGGAGCAAAGGACCTGCCGCTGAACTGCCGCCGCCGATCGCGGTTCTTTTTTTTTTTTTTTTT